GAATTATTTTAGTAAACATTCTCTTCAGCTTTCATGGGACCTTTGGTTCTGTTTTATTTATATATATATATATATATATATATATATATATTTTTTTTTTTTTTTTAAATATATTTTATTGATTTTTTTACAGAGAGGAAAGGAGAGGGATAGAAAGTTAGAAACATCGATGAGGGAGAATCATCGATCAGCTGCCTCCTGCAAACCCCCCACTGGGGATGTGCCCACAACCAAGGTACATGCCCTTGACCGGAATCGAACTTGGGACCGTTGAGTCCACAGGCCAATGCTCTATCCATTGAGCCAAACCTGTTTCAGCTGCTTTGTTTTTATTTTTAGTATAGCATTCTTAAAAGTTTTCTTTTAGAAATTTGCATTGGTAGTTGTTTTGGTTCTAAAACAGAGTGTGGGGAAATGGGAAAGGAGAAAAATAGTTTTACAGAAAGAGCCTTCCATAGAGCAAAACCATGAAGGTAGAGAATGAGTTGCCTTGGGTCTCTGTCGTTGTAGCTGCCAGAACAGCAGACCCTTCAGGTTCACATCTCTAAACAGGAAGGATTACCTACACTGTCTATGAATATATTATATCAGTGATTCACAAGTTTGTATTTCCAGCCCTGATCTCATTTGTGAACTTTAGGATTATTCTACTTGATACTTGGCCATCACTCAGCGATGTCAATCTGAACATGTCCAAAACTAAACTTTTGAGCTCCTATCCCACTCCCATTCTGCCTCTTCTCCAGTGCTCTTAGTAATCCACCAATCTCTTTCTCCAGGTGCTTGAGCCAGAGAAACCCAAGGTCATACTTGGCACCTTCCACTTCCTTATCCTTTCCCCCTAACTCATTAAGCCCGTCACAAAGTCAGGTTGCTTTCTCGTGGCCATACCCTACTCCCTGACACTGTACCCTCTGCCTGGGTAAGGTTAGTGGCTTCCTGGCTCTCCCTTCCTCTGCTACTCTAGCACATTATTCCATTGCAGCCAGAGTAATAATTTTAACATTAGACATATCGCTTTCTGCTTAAAACCTTTCAGTGGCTTCTACTTTCTGTTGGAATAAGAACTCACATCTTTGTGAAGCCAACAGGGTCTGCCTGTTTGTTTTAACCTGCTGTGGAATCACTGGCCCCTTATTTCATTTGCTTAAAAATAATAAACTCATTCTCACCTTAGGAGTGTACCTTCTGATAGTATGATTCTCCTCCTGACCCTCACCTGGCTAAGTCCTGCTCAGACCTTGGCTCAAGTGTTACCTCCTTATCACCAAAACAACCAGAGATAGCCATGTGACCATCTAAAGGTGACAAAGGGAGGAAATTCCGAATGTGCTTTAAAAGACAAATAAACTGATTGCATTATTTTTATTCCTGGAAGACAGTAGGAAAAACTGAAAGACACCAAAGAAAAGGATGAAGACACAGTGGTTTTTGTTCGGTTGGTTCTTATTTGTCTTGGGTTTTTTTTGTTTGTTTGTTTGTTTCTTTCTTTTTTTTCTTCTATTTGAAATGTATGTGTGGCTAGAAGGGTAACTCAGTATCTACAAAGCATGCTTCTGCAAAATTAGGCCTATTAATCCAAAGAAAGCAAGAGCCAATAATAAAGACTATGAAAAATAAATTATGAAACATGCAACTAATATCAGAGCATCACTTTGTCACAGCCTACCTCCTAGAAGACATGAAAGTACTGAACTCAAACTAAAGAAAATATAGCTAATAAGTTAGTGTAGCTCTATGGGAAACATTCATTTCATTATACTGCAATAGTAATTTTGAGTAGAACCTGGCTCGCTCTCAGTTTTTATTGTTTTTTTAAAATATAAAAAAACAATAAAAACTGGCCGAAACCAGTTTGGCTCAGCGGTAGATCGTCGGCCTGCAGACAGAAAGGTCCCAGGTTCAATTCCGGTCAAGGGCATGTACCTTGGCTGCGGGCAGAGCCCCAGTGGGGGGTGTGCAGGAGGCAGCTGGTCAATGTTTCTCTCTCATCGATGTTTCTAGCTTTCTATCTCTCTCCCTTCCTCTCTGTAAGAAAAATCAATAAAATATATATATTTTATATATACATATATTTTTTAATTGACTTTTTACAGCAAAGTTTTTATTCTTGAGAATACAATGTGCATATGGCCTGAAATAAAATATTTAGTGTTAACCTGTTTCAGCAAAGTTTTTATTCTTGAGAATACAATGTGCATATGGCCTGAAATAAAATATTTAGTGTTAACCTGTTTCAGCAAAGTTTTTATTCTTGAGAATACAATGTGCATATGGCCTGAAATAAAATATTTAGTGTTAAATATTTTTTTTCCAAAATGTAATAATATTTTTATTAAAATTTACATTCAGTGTTATTTTGTATTAGTTTTAGGTGTATAGCATGGTGATCAGACAATCATATACACTTTACAAAGTATAGCCCTTCATGTTTTTAGTACCCACTGGCATTGTACATAGTTATTACAGTATTGTTGATATATTCCTTATGCTATACATCACTGTTATTATTTTATAACTATCAATCTACACATCTTAATCCCTTTACCTTTTCACCCATCTTCCTAACCCCTCTTCCATCTGGCAACCATCAGTCTTTTCTCTACATCTGTGAGTCTGTTTCAATTTTGTTTGTAAATTAATTTTGTTCTTTAAATTCCACATGTAAGTGAAAGTATATGGTCTTGCTCTGTCCGACTTATTTCATTTAGCCTAATACCCCATAGGTCCATCCGTGCTATTGTAAATGGTAAGATTTCATTTTTTTTATGGCTAAGTAATATTCCATTGTACATATATATGTACCATAACTTTTTACCCACTCATCTATTAATAGGCACTTGGGTTGCTCCCCCATGTAACTGTGTTATCACAAAGCATAAAGAATATTAAACACTCCACTCAAGTCAAAGAATCTGAATACAACTGTAAATGCAATTTAATCTTCCTCTAGGATTTGGCCTTGCTTTTGTTATTTTAGCAAAATCAAGGAGAATACATAGTTGCCTTAGGACTGATTGTGGATGACACTCAGCAAATACATAGTTTTTGTGGATGACCTGATGTCATATGAGAAAATATTTTTCAGGGTCAGTTAAATATTTATAAGAATTTTATCCTGAAATCATCTCAAGCTTGAAAAGAGCACTGGCTATGAAAAGAGTATTTTCCAGAAGGATTCAGAGACTTCAGGAACTCTGCTGCTGTGGAATTCAGATTGTTCATAAAGTTTAAAGTGTGTGTGTGTGTGTGTGTACTTAAAACAGGTCGATCTACTTTATTTAAAAGTAAACAGTGCTCTTAGTCTGCAAAATCAAGTGAATATTTGAAATTTTTATCTTCTCAAAAATAACCTTGTGGTACCTTATCCTGTTTTCTAGGCTGCTTTGGGATTAATAATTTTATTAATTTTTAAATATTTTAAACTCTGTTTTGTAAAGTTAAATATTCCACTTCATATGTTATGCCCTTTACACATATTGTGCCCCAAACATGAAGAAGGCCATCATGTTTGGATGCCATCACCCTTTGATTTAGTTTCTCAGGTAGTGAATATCATGGCTCTCTTGGATGGGTTTCATTCATTCCTGCAACAAGTGTTTATTTACTAAGTGCCTGGGCTGTGCCACATACTCTGCAGTCAGCATCCATTTCTGACAATTAACTATTGAATTATTGGTTCTGTATAGAAAATAGTTCTTTAAGAAACAAGAAAAGTTCTGAGGGAAAAGAGCCAAAAGACGTAAAGGAAAAACATCAACCCACAGATACCTATGTCTAGGAATTTTTTTTACATGTACACATTACTAAATGTAAGGAATAGTTAAACATTCCCCTGAAATCAAAGATTGTGGGTGCAGCTGCAATTAATTGCATTTGTGTTCCAAATGTAGGTAATGGGCACTGTGACTTCCTTCAGGATTAGGCCTCACTTTTAAGTTTATTTTATCAAGGAAGTATGTAGTTGCCTTGAGGCTAATTGTGGATACCCAGGTGTCACACCTAGCTTTTCTCAGAGATTTCATATGGACCTGTGTTTCTTAAGAAAAGAAGAACAAAGATAAACTAATTTAGACTCTTGAAGAACTGCCACTGTATATAATTTATGAGAATGTTACATTTAAGAGTGTGTATTTTATTGGTTGGTAATTTCTCAATGTCCTGTTATTTTTGTTTCATAAATTTACTTTTTACCTTTCACTTTCTGAATTATTGAACATAAACTAAAGTGAATGAAGTGGATACTAACTATAAGCTTAATATTTAATCTCCAATTTTCTCTTGTCAATAAACTTCTTTCTCTTCCTTTCCACCTTTTTTTTTTTTTTTTTTTTCCCCTTTTTCTTTTAGGACCTGGGGATATCGAAAGTGGGTCATATGAAGCGAATTCTCCAGGGAATTAAGGAGCTTGGAAGGAGCACTCCTCCGTCTGAGGTGTAATCATATTGGTGCTATTCCTTAGAAGGGAAGTAATTGCTATTTAATACAAAGCCCCTGGAAGCAGTTGACTGTTCCTATCGTTTTCTGCCCAGATAAGTAAGCACCACTGAAGCACCTCTGTGGCTTGACATTTCGCCATTGGTGAGAATTTTGATTTGAGGTATTAGAAAATATTTTTGTGTCAAAAAATACATTCCACAAAGCTATTTTCTTACTGTGCAAACCTGACATGTTCAAATTTGCTCATACAAGTAAAACAGTAGGATGAATATGAGATAGTTGCATTGTTGAAAAGGTGAAATTGCAGAATGTTTGCTTTCCTTAAACCTGGTCAGATGGAATGTTCTTACTGTGCAACCACATAATGGTATATGGCTAAACCTTCTTAGGTCTCATTAGAGGCATTGGCTTCTTCCTTAAAAATCATTGGTTAGAGGACTAAGATATATAAAGATGTGTTTTGAATGTTAGATTGGTATCACCTCAGATTCCTGTGGTCAAATAGTATGGTTAAAATTCCTCAAATACTATGAATGAATGAATGAATGAATGATGAATGAATGAATGAATGAATGAAAATCTTAATGCACGGTGTTGCTGCCTGAATTGTCTCTTTCTTGCATGTCCAGCATCTAATATTGTACAACTTAGTGTTAATGTCAGTTTTAATGAGATTAATTTATTACTACGTAAGTACCTTTTTGTTAGCTAAAGGCACTTTTCTGTTCTTTGATGTGAACTTTGCATAAATATTCTGCATCTAAGATTTTGTGGACATGGGTCTGTGCCATAATCAACAAATGATAAACATTTTAGGCAAACCATTTTTGTCAACCTATCATAAAGAGTAGGTATGCACATTAAGAAAATTCTCTGGATAGTTTCATAAAATTACATATTCTGTTTTCTGACAACATTATGCTTTCCAAACCAAAATTTCCACATTTGTTCTTATTTTCCCACTTCAATTTGAAAATTATTTAATGCTGTGTTTGCATTTATGTATAATAATGATTGACATCCAGGAATTTCTTCAATGTCTCAACTGTGGTTTGTATACTGGTCGTATACAAACTCACCCACTAGCTAAGGTTACAAGTGACATGAACTTCCTCCCAACAAGAAAAATTAAAAAATTTTTAAAGGCCTTTACATTATTATTATTATCTCATGTAATTCTTATATCTTATCAGGTAGATATTACTTTCTTTTTCTAATCACCATACTTCACTGTAGCTCATTAAGAGTCAACATTGCAATTATCAAATCTTTGAAAGCCAAAGGCATACATATCAACATGTCATGAAAATATCTTCAAGTAATCTCTTTTTAGATATTATATGCCAAAAATTAATTATAACATTTAAAAATGTTCTATATATAAGAAGTAAGCAGGGTACTGTACTGATCCAGTGGTGACAATTTTCATAAAGTAATCTTTTAGGTAGGTGCTCAATAGAAATATATACACTCACACACATATATATACATATACACACATATATGTATATACACCCATATACATTTATATGCATATTTACATTTATAATCACAAAATATGCTCTCATTGATATTTTCTAGACAACTGTTTGCTGAATGCTTAAAGAGAAATATTGGTGGGAAAGCATTAAAATGAACTATTGTCAGACATATTTAATTATATCAAAGAAGTTTGTTTATTTGACATTTTATTCTTATTTATAACTTTAGTATCTAACTACTAGAAAAATCATAAAATTTGGATATCTTAAAAATAAACAAACCTGATAGGTAGATTCATGACCAAGTGTGTCTGACTATACTGTATATTTTACCTAAGTTGCGAATAAGTGGAAATTTTCCAAAGAGAATTATACCAGGTAGCTTAATAGAGTAAAAAGCTATTCACTTAAAATATTGATGTTTCCCCACACCTAAGAAGTCACAGGCCTTTTCCAGTCCCTTTTGTCACCCCCTTCCCCAGCCCCCCAGCCTGCAGGATGTCCCTCTCTTCCAGGCACTTCCCTGGAAATCAAAGCACATGCCTGCCCGGTTCTCCCTGTCCAACAAGGAGGTGGGGAACTCTAGACAAGAATGAATGAATATAAAGATCTTTATTGATTTTTCACTCCTTCAAATACCTCTTTGCCAATAGAAAAGATTCTTAAGCTATTATATTTTCAGAATGGAAAAGGAAGATATAAATGACTGAATGTTTTGGTTTTGATGTTCTTTCAATCTTAGATACCATCTTTTATATTTATATTTACTTAGTCGGGCCTAAGTCAGTTAATGGAATCTTTAGGTAGGTAGAATTTTCCTGCAAGTGGCTCTTGAATGAGGGGAATCCTTTAAAATGACCATTTCAATATCTTTTTTGTTAAATGATAGCAAATTTCCTGGTACATTTTGTCATGCGGAGTTGTGTAGGATCCAAATGACGTCACTCACACCTGTTTGCCAGGGTAGTGCCCTCAGAGCCACCTTGGGCCCCTGGCAGTATCACAGAGGAACCAGCTTCTTGTCATTCCTGGGGTTACAAAGAAAACAGGATGAAGAATTTCTCTAGTGTCTGATTACAGCTCTGGGGAATGCAGGTGAGGCCCCTGTGCTTAGTCCACTGGTAAGCTAAGCTCTAAAGGCTGCCTTTCCTTCCCGCTAGGCTCTTCCACATGCAGATAACTTGAGAGGGATGGAGAGGAATCACAGCAACAAACATCCACTTCCTGTCAGTCTCCTTTTTTCTGAGGAAGAACTTGCTTTTCAAGAAGGAAAGGGACAGAGTCGGGCCTAAGTAAAATTTCAGTATAAACTTAATTTTTCTCCTCAGTGTCTTTCCATCTTCCTTTTTTTCTCTTATTTTTTCTGAGTTTATTTCTTTTTTTAATTTAAATTTATTGGAGTGACATTGGTCAACATGAACATATAGGTTTTGGGTGTGGGTTTCTATACTGCACCATGTGTCCACCTCCCTCTCTGAATTTCTTTCCCAGTTCCTGGCTTCATGTTTTCCCACGAGCACAATATATGATGGTTGCTCAAATTCTCACTGCCATATACCACCCTTTCCTCATCAACTGTCCCACAGCAGAATGGTTCCTTTCATCTCTCCTCGCCTGAGCACTCATTGTAGGTCATCTAGCAAAGTTTTAGGAAGAAGACAATACAAAGAAACTAACTTTTCAGTTTGTATTTTATAAAAGGAAATGCTAATCTAAATGAATTAATGGGTTAGGCAATTGGGAACTATGATATACATTGCATTGACTGCAGAAAGCAGTCATCCGCGAATGTCTAGACACGTGCTATCCGATATCAAAGCCATTAGGCTCATGCGGCTATTTAAATCTAAATTACTTAATGTAGAAATTGAGTTTCTCATGTGCACTAGCTACATTTCAAGTGCTCGATGGCCGTAGCGGACAAACAGATGTTGAACATTTACATCATTGCAAAAACTTCACTAGAAAGCATTGGTCTAAAACAGGTTGGGAACATCTGGCCTGCCAAAACATTAGGGGTGAGTTAATTAAATGTTAACCAAACATAGCAAGGTAATTTTTAAGTTATTGATTTTCTATGTCTTGCAAACGATGTTATAAATATCCCAATGGCCCTTGGCAGAAAAAAGGTTCCCCACACCCCTGGTCTAGAACATTGCTACCCAAAATGTAGTCCATGGACCAGCAGCATGCTTATCACATGGAAACTTACAGAAAGGCAGATTCTTAGGTTTTCTCCAGACCTGCTGAATCTGAACCTGGTAACAAGATTCATCAGGTGATTAGCACTAACCTAAATATGTTTTATCCCTCCTAGATTTTAGGGACTTCTGGTCTTCAAAGGGTGCTCAGAATAGCTCATTCACCAACCCACTGTTTCATATCGCTTCTCCAGCTAACCCTAGAAATCAGTTAAAACTCACTTATTCTCATTTATCGCCCTAACTGAGCTTCTTCTCCACCCATATTCCTAATTCAGGCTCTAGCTGAGCCCTACCTACCCAGTTATATTTTGGTAGCAAAGGTGGAGCACAGGAAATTGGCTAACAAACACAGCTGGCCTCTCTCCAGCCCCTCACCCCACATCTTTGTCACTAACAGTCTACATTCACTCAGTTTGTTGCTCATATGGCATTCTCATTGGTTCACAACTTAAGTAACAGGAAATATTTTCAGAAGAATATGTACTGAGACAAGTAAAGACTGGTTCGGTTTCTTACAACTTCACTTTCTCTTATCAGTAGATTATCCTGTTGACATAGTTCATGCTTGAGAACACAGCAGCACACACATATTAAATGAACCATTAGTCATGAAAACCCAAGATTGCAAATAAAGTGAATGTGCATTAAAGCCCTCAAAGAAAGCATTCGTTTGCTAAACTAAGTCTGTTAATTATGCTAAATTACCTTGATTTTCAGATAGCTAATAATTCCTTAAAATAGTGCCTGAAAATACTTTATCATATTCTTGACCTTGAAAATACAAATTATTTAATTCTACAATAAGATCTATGCTGATGACTTAATAATCCTTCACTTGATGTGTACATATTGCTTACTGCCAAACATTACTGCCTAGATATTCCATATCTAATTTTCATGAATAAAAAGAGCACTACTTTAATCTTCATGGAAGTAATTTTTAACAGGACTTGAGGAAGGAAATATTCATGCAGAGCATGACTTAGAAAATTATATTGGAAAGTTCTATACATCCTTCTAAAGTAAGTGACCTTTTGTCTCCGAATGGGCTGACAACATATTGGACCTTTGTGTTATGCAGATGTGAACTCTGTAAGAATATAGCTTTTCCTTAAGCTATAAAAACTCTCTCAACCTTGATATCTAGGATCTCTCCTGTCCTCCTCCCCTTATTCCTGTAAAATCATCCTTCATTTTTCAGATGAAATTTGGGTAAAACAGTGGGTTTAGAGATTGATGATATAAGTGGCAGTTTTAAAAGATCAAGCTCTTCAAATCAGTTGAAAATAATGAGAAGTGAAGGTTCCTCTGATACTGTCAGACTCCCAGGGGGTCCCATGTGCTTGGGGGCCATGCCTCACCATCACCTTCTCCACTCACCATCCATGCCAAGTCAGTGGAGCCTGGGACTTGTTTGTCTCTGCTGTGGCATCTCCCCAGTGGCTTCCGTGTAGCAATCTCCGCATCACATGGGTAGCATGTAGGATGCCTTCCTAAAGAAACAACCAAAACTTGTAAAAGGCTGTGATAATTGGCTTTATAATAAGCAAAGCACTAATTTTTAATCTTTATAGTTGTTTTCTCTTTACTATTAATATTTCCTCCAAGTTTTGTTTAGAGATATTTCTGTTAGGGTAAAAAACTGTAAAGATTTATTATTACAAAGAACAGTGAGATAAAAGACAGCTGGACTGTATCTATTTGTATACTTCTTTTTGTTACTTTTCAGGAAAAGAAGTTTAGCAGAGTAACTCAGACTGCATTAAACTCGTAGTAATGTTTTAAAAATTCCTATTACTAACATAGGTGAAGAGATTAACTTCCTTCGTGTACTTAAGATATTGTATTTACATATATTTATATCCTCTCTTAATTTTTTTATGCACTTCCAAGTTTTAGTTGGAAAAATAGAAACAAAGCCACTACTTAGAAGTTCTAAAAACTTTAAATTTTTCATTTTAGCTACAAGTAATTCATTGCATAGGAATTTATTAATAGTCTCCATATTTCATAGGAAATGCATTTCAAGAGTAAAATAGCCAAACTTAAAGAAATATAGGGTTACTTTAAAATGTATTAAAATAAGTTTGATACTCAGTTAATGATGCCATTGAAGTAGGATAATGCAGTTAGATATACAAGCTATAAAGGAAAAAAGCATTTATTTTGTGGTCCTTCCTGTTTGATTGCACTATTGTTCACCACAGCTTAGCCATGTCTACTTCTATATTCTAACTATTAAGCTGATATGTAACTAGGGATTTCTTACAGTTCTGGTAACTGGTAACTAGTGCTGTGAAAGGTTTTGGTATTGTAACATTCCCAGTTTTGTGAGTTATATATTGTATATTGAAGATGATTAATAAATTGAAGTAATATATTTGACTAGAGCTGGGAAAACATGGTAATTATTTTCAAATGTTTAAGTTTAATCAAAAAAATTTTTTCTCTTAAGTGAGATAAAAGTCTCACTTTTGTTAAAATGTCTATTTATACAACAGGTTTCTCCTTTTATTGATTTTATTAATTTTCATATTAAAATTTTTCTTATCTTTTGTACCAAAATAATTATCATGCTAGGTATTCGAACTGCCAAGATGTATTTTAGTTTGCTGGACTTTGGCAGACAAAATATTTAATAACAAACCAGCTTTGTATATTTTGTGGCTTGGGGGGCAAGATTTTACCTTTGAATATCTAAGTGCTGTTATCAGCAAAGTCAACATAGACAGTATTACTTGTAATTATCAGTAGAAGATTTTCACAGATTGTATAAATCAGTGCATTTATTTATTATGTTGTGAAATGTAATCTTTATACAAATGCATATTCTAGCTCTTTTCTTGTAACTGCTGTTGCTTAGAGTGTAATAGCCCTATTAATGATTTACTTGCATACTTGAAGTACTCATTTCTGTCAAACAGATGCCCAATTTATTTTTAAAAGCTATGGATAACTGAACAGTAATAGAGATGTTGTTAAAAAAAATAATTTTGTTTAATATAAATATGAAAAAAAGCATAAAGCCAAAATGGAATCACCGCTCTTAGGATTTAATGTAGCCAGGATCCCATTCTGCTATTTTTTGCCAATCTGCATATAGTTTATCTTCAAATCAGAACTTCTTTTCTTCTGTATTTGTTGTAAAAGACATTTTAGGATTATACTGCCAGTATGAATTCAAATGCACTTAAGAAACTTGAACCCCAAAAAATCTCACATACCTCCAGCAGCTAGCTCTAGGTTCCAGGATGTATATTTTTAACAATGGTTGCATTTGAATCTGGGCTACTTTACAAATAGTAACCATGGTGGATAATTTTGTTTCTGTCAATTTTGTTTGTTTCTGTCAATTATGTCAATGGCATTTGAGTTCTGAATTATTCTTGTTTAAAAATATTCTCTATACAACTAATTGAAAAAACTAAAATTCTAAACCATAATGGCATGCATGACACAGAATAAAATCACATTTTCAAGAAAGAAAATAAAACTGTTCTGACTTAATGTGAGGCAGTGTTAGGAACCAAAGAAATCACTTTAACGAGCCCTAAATTCAACTGTCTCATAGTGTAAGCTGTAGATGAATTGTGAACTATTTTAGCACTATAATAGATTAGGAATTAATTTACTATAATTTTAAAGACAGTTTTTGTTAATTTTACTGTTGTACAATTATTGAAGGCAGGAAAAAAAAGAAATTATGGGAGAAACATCATGTGGATATTAAAAGAAAAAGAAACTTGAGTTCTTTTGAAAAGATTTGGAAATAGTTTGAATTTAGATATCTTTTACCTTATATTATAGAAACACAAAACACGTGTGAATTGTATGGTAGGTACAAGACCACAAAAACAATGTCGCTCTGGTGAAGTCTATTAGACCATATCTGTGTTTTATCGAAGTAACCAGTGAATTCAGGGGCCCATTCTCCTGTTGAAATTTAGAAGTCAGTGAAGCAGATAGCTTGGATAACCTAATCTTTTGCATTTCCTACATGAGGCAAATATCTGTGCTTTCTCAACTTAGTGATTGGTATAGGGAGAACTAGTCAGAAGGCCTTAGCTAGTTCCTGTCGAAGAGCTCTGGTAAATATAGATCAGACTAAAGAGATTTTCATGAATTTGCTAAGCCTTCAAATTTTTGGCAGTGATAGATTTTACTTTCATTTGAAAAAAAATTATTAAAATTTGTATTATAACACATAGCTGAATTCTGTGATTCTTGAGGTGGGAATATGGTTTAGATGTATTGGGTTCCATAACTGACTTTGATACTGGCTCACTGTGTCCTTTCTACAAACTATATGTTTTGGTGCCTCGGTTTCCCCAATTAGACATAACATACAATATTACTAATTATAAGTATTTGGGAATTTTTCTTTTACAAAAGGAGTTATGTAAGCATGAATCATACCTAAATTTATCATTGCTTCCCCACTGTTATTTGAGTTATAAAGAAAAGCTTTCAAGACTATAGCTTGAAAATTAAAATTCCCAAATTAATATCTCTTGATGCTCAGTCTTTTTACAGGAAGTTTTGTTAAAATGAGAGTGAACTTACCTTAGTACTGTGAGTACGAGAGTAGGTTTGGGTATTTTCCTCTGTGTACTACAGGTTCATATTATTCAGTTTAGGGTCAACTAAAAACTCACTTCTAAAATTTCCAAAAATTTAGTGGTTTTTTTTTCTGCACCCACCCCAAACAACCATTTTACAGCTGTGAAAGTTAAGACTTGCATGTTTTTTCCTTATATTAGTAACTCCCTAAGAGGAAAATGTTTTCCCTCCTTCCCACCTTCCTTCCTTTTTTCTTTCTCTTTTGGAAAATGTTTCTTTAAATCAGTGGTTGAAAAAAATGGAACGCTTTTACCTTGTGACATCACTGCTTCCTCTCTTAACTTGTAATGTCACTCCCTATGCTAAGTGAATGATGGTTCCTTGCTGTTTGATCCAAACATGTAGATCCCACTACATTCTCTGGCTGTGGCGTGCTACTTCCTAATGTAAATTACCTTCAAAACTTCCTGCAAAAAGACTAAACTAGAGATTGCCTTAATTATTATCATAATGTAAACCTGAGTGTAATTAAATGGAAAAAAAAAAAGTAGAATAACCTACTTAAAATCATTAAATATAGATGAGGGTAAATGAATATATGCCTTTATTTTGCCTGATATTTGAATTCAGTCACCATCTGATTCTTGACTTAAGATTTCTTTGCAAAATATGATATTTTTTTATAGCATAATATTGTCACTTGGAGCTTCTATTGCATCCTCCTCCCCTAAAACTGTATGACATAAGGGAAAAGGTTGACTCTGAACTTATTCAGATAGTATTTTGACCTGTCTTAATAGCACAGCTTAGTTTTCATAATGACACATTCCTTAATTGATGATTCTAGAATAATTTGACATAGTGACAGGAATAAATCATTTTTCTGGGAACTTGCTTCCCACAATGACCTATTATACGGTTGACCTTAGTATAATTAGGGTTAATTATAATTTTATTAAGAGCTGGCCCTTTATACAGATTACAACTGTGCGGCAGATTTTAATATACATACTGTTGAGGATGAAAATAATGCAAACTTGAGCAGTTCTTTCTTTTGTTTCTTCTCCTTCTACTTGAAAAACTTTCAGAAAGCTTTGAGAGATGACACCGTTTCCAGAGCAATATATTCTTCCAGGAAACTCATAAACTAAAATATGGAACAAAACAAATGTTTAATCCTAATCTTGGTTTTGGGCTTTATAAACAAAAGCATTCTATATGTCAAAGTTTCTTTTTCAGAATTTCTGCAGTTGCATATTTCATTTTGTCCATCTCAAAAATTGAATCAGCAGTTTATGTTCTATTTCTAATTAGTTGTGGTAAGGCAATAATTGCTTTTGTCAGTACAACCTTTCACCATTTTTCTCTCCTGTGCTTTTTCTGTTTTTCAGTAAACTCTTTTCTGACCTTCATTGTCCCACTTCTAGTCTTACCTTCCTTAGGGTTGTCAGAGTGGTCTTTCTAAAACACAAATCTGCTTTGCGTCACTTTACTAAAAGTTCTTAAATACGCTCTTCTTTCTTTACAATATAGCATCCTAACTCTTCAGCATGATGGATAATGATCTCTATAAACTTGAGTTTTTTGCATCCCCACCCACCAATTTCCACCCCCACCCCTTTTTTTTTAAAGCATCCTTGCCCACCATTTTCCTGGAATTTGGAACCATTCACAACTTAGTCCTCAACATAATCACATCCTATAGGTCAACTCATTCAAGATTCAGTTCAGATTTCTCAAACCAAGTTAAGCTTTTCATCCATGCTCCATAGAATCTTGACATTTTTTCTATTAAAAAAATTTCAACAATTGTATATATTATATGCCTGTCCCCCTTCTGAATTTCTCTTGTTTAATTTCTGGTCTCACCATCTAGGAAGCACATAATAGGATTTTAATAAGTGTTTTTGAATGAAGGATGTAAATAGAGAACCCAAACTTTTCCATAGGTTTATACTTTCACAAGTGAAAACTTGGGCGTCTCTGAGAGTCCACATGAGGTCTGCACGTATTCATGAGCACACACACTGAGAAACCAACAGAAGATGGACAGAGGGAAGAACAGTCACTTTATGAAGGATAACCATTTGTTAACTATTCATCAGAGACTCTTACCAAGTCTGAATTCTTGTTTCTAAATATGAGGCTTATCAAAATCACATAACTGACAAATTCTTATTTGTAATTCCTAAATGTGCTGTAAAGGTGATCTTTATCTTTTGTAGACATTCGGTATTCACAGTCTATATCACATGTGTCAAACACAAGGCCCGCAGGCCAAATCCGTCCCGCCAGGCCTTGCAATGTGGCCCGCACCACGCTGTCATCACTGCACTCCGCTGCGTTTCCATCACAATGACAGTTTATGACTGTTCAGTAAACCATTCGGCCCGCAATTTAGGCTGGATTTTAGATTTTGGCCCCTTCTCTGAATGAGTTCGACACCCCTAGTCTATATAAAACATACACTGATTACCTACACAAAATAATGAGACTTCAGAAAGAATAAAAACAATAATGAAGGTGAAATTTTCTTTTAAATAATGTTCAACCAAAGATATTGACTGAATTTTTGTGATTTCAGGTCAAGTGTAGCTAATGTCTATTTCTCTTTATTCTGATGCAAATGTAAGGCTTGTTTATGACTTTCACCCATTATAGAATATAAAGAATAAAAGCTATTATCTGTGCACTATAGGTTCATGTTACTCATTTTAGGATAGACTAAAAACACAATTCCAAAATGTTCAAAAATTTAGTACTTTTTCTACACTCTCCCCAAGCAACTAGGGCCTGGTTTTCTTTTGTGATTCTATAAAACCTTTTAACTGTGTCCCCAAATCATGGTTAAAGGTTAACACAAAAGCCCTTTAAAGTTAATCATTTCTAAAATGAAATAGTAGTCCAAAATGTGTGTAATTAAATGCTCTCTTCCTTCACCCACTTAATATACATTTTTATTTATTTATTTTTTTTATTGATTAAGGTATTACATAAGTTTCCTTATTCTTCCATTACCCCCTGCGCCCCCCCCCCCCATGCCCTCACCCCCTGTTGTCTGTGTCTTAATAGACATTTTTCTGCCTGCTCTATTCTTGACATCTGATTAGAGGTTGGGGTACAAAAAATAAAAAATAAAGCATAGTTCTTACCTGGTAGAATTTCTTTGTTTTCATGATTATTTTTCTATAGTCCATTTAAGAAACTGGGAGGACATTTTTTTAAACCAAGTATTTCTCAGGGTATTTCAGAGACATGGTCTCTTTACACATCAAAAAACTAACAAATGCTGTGTCATAAAGAAGAAACCCCATTTTTATGCCTACAGTTTTTGTATTTTCAGATCATCCACAAATAATTTTGCCCATCCCTTGTCAAGTACATCTTTCATCAAAGCTGTAGAACCCCATTTCCACAACCGTAACTGCCATGTGTGATCCAGGAGACGAATAGATTTGTAGAACATAAGTAAAATTTCAAGTCCACTTTACGAAGGCATAGGCCCCTATTAATGACGCTAACACCAAAACATACGGGGTATACATTGTGAGCCCACAGCAGAGGGGAAACGTCAAGTAATGCTTCCTGGTTAAAAGGTTCCATTTGAGCTTATGGGTTGCTGTTTCCACCTCGGTTATTTTTATTGATGAGTCATTTAACAGGTAGCATACTTATCTAAGCATATATAAGTATGTTTAGCATAGCAAGAGTGTGTGCCACAGTACACTGATACAGGTGAAACAAAACAAAAATTTTGGAGTTATAAAAATGAACTTGACTGAATATTATTGATAGGTAATAGGGTTCTTTTATGAGAAGGAAAAAATCTGCCGTTATCTTTATTATCAGTAAGTATGGGGGGGGGGGCCTTGTATGTATATTTACATTTTGATAAGCTTATTTTATTTCTATGTTCTCTAGCAACAGAAAACTCCTACTTTGATACAACTCTACCTTTTGTTGAATGTTATAAAGGCCCACAAAGTAAGGAAGCTCTGAAGGCTAAATAGACACTTTCCCCTTATATTCAACATATTGATTTTACCTTCTGATACCCAGTAACTATTTACCTTCTATTTATCACATTGAAAGCATAATAGTAGAGTTCTTTTGACCCTTACATTGAAAAAGATAGTTTTAATTTAGCCTTTGCTATATTATTTATAGTTAAGAGTTTACTACATTTTGGTAGTCTGTTTTGAAATTGTACTGTATCTGAAAGATGCAGATCATGTCTATTTATTACATAATGGGCTCTGTTTGCTGCAGAAAAGAGTAAAACTTTTAACTGCTTAGCACACTTGCCAGTGAAATATACCTGACAGGGCAGAGGTTATAACTTTGGCTCTAATTACTTTTAATAATGGTAGGAAAATGTGTTTTGTTTGTTTACATGCTGTTTACAATGGCATAATTTTTAAATATATACAACAATTGAGATATTTATTGCATACTATTTTAAAGATGTTTTATGTGTTTTCACCTTTGGAATATATTGTTACAGTTCCTTATACAGATAATTTTGGTGGCTTTGTTAATAATGTAGCTAGCAATTTTTATGACTACTAAGTGACCAGTTTTCTGTGCCTTTTATTGTGGGATGCATGATGTATTTATTGTACGGGAGTCACTGATGCGTGTATTTTTGTACTTGGCTGAGAGTTACGGTTGATCTCCATGTACATGCTGATGAGAGATGCCTTTCCCAAAGGGCACTGCCTTGAGATCATTCTTCTCAAATAAAAAGAATGCATTTGGACAATGTGTGAAGTCTACATTCTTTCTGGTGAGGAAACTTATTTTTATTAAACGTTTTATGTTGCCGAAGCCGGTTTGGCTCAGTGGTAGAGCATTGGTCTGCGGACTGAAAGGTCCCAGGTTCGATTCCGGTCAAGGACACGTACATTGGTTGCGGGCACATCCCCGGTAGGGGGTGTGCAAGAGGCAGCTGGCCGATGTTTCTCTCTCATCAACGTTTCTAGCTCTCTATCTCTCTCCCTTCCTCTCTATTAAAAATCAATAAAATATAAAACAAAAAACAAAAAAAAGTAAACCTCTGTTGAGAGAATTGTAGACTCACATACAGTTGTAAGAAATAATGCAGAGCCGAAACTGGTTTTACTCAGTGGATAGAGCATCGGCCTGCGGACTCAAGGGTCCCGGGTTCAATTCCGGTCAAGGGCATGTACCTTGGTTGCAGGCACATCCCCAGGAGGGGGTGAGCAGGAGGCAACTGATGGATGTTTCTCTCTCATCTATGTTTCTAGCTCTCTATCCCTCTCCCTTCCTCTCTGTTAAAAAATTAATAAAATATATATATATTTTTAAAGAAAGAATTCAGAGAGAGATCTTGTGTGCCATTCATTCATTTGCCACCCTGCAAACCTAAAATACAGTGTCACAACCAGGATGTTGACTCTGACAGTCAAGATGCTAACAGTTCTCTCACCACAAAGCCCCACAACAGAGGTCCCTCGCATTGCCACACCTACTTCCCGCCCACCTCCACCCAACAACTCTTCATCTGTCTTCGCTTTTGTAAATTTCTCATTTTCAGAATGTCTTATTAAAATTTACTAAATTTTATGACTTTTTTTTCCACTTGGTTTAGCTCCTTGGAGATTTCATCCAAAATCTGCATGTATCAATAATCCAGTCCTATTTATTGCTGAGTAAGATTCCATCTGGTGGGCGAATTCTTAATGTTAAAACATAATTTGGTTTATTCTTAATAGTAGTAAGTCCTTAAAGTTCACCAATAAACACTTGTGTTAATTTACTACCAAATGTGACAGGTATTGTCTGCAGTGGTAACCATCGATGAGGAGCCCTTTGAGATTACTGTCTAATGAAGAAATATTACTGAACACTGAGTAGTGTGTGCATTGATAGAAATATGTCACCAGACCATAACCGGTTTGGCTCAGTGATTAAGCATCAGCCTCTCAACTGAAGGGTTCTAGATTTGATTCCCGGTCAAGGACACCTACTTCAGTTGCAGGCTCAAGCCCTGGCCCAGCCAGGGCAGGTGCAGGAGGCAACCAATTGATGTGTCTCTCACATCAGTTTCTCTCTTCTCTGTCTCCTCCTTTCCACTCTAAGAATCAATGGAAAAAATATCCTTGGGTGAGGATTACCAAAACACACGCACAAGGCATGTCACCAGGTACGTGGGGACATGAGGGCCACAGAGGAAGGGGCCGTCTAGAGAAGTGCAGAGGCGACAGAGTTGAGTTTTAAGCAGTTGGTCAGGCCAAGTACGTGTGTGAGACAGCCTGGCAGTACAGCTGAGCTGGGTGCTGCTGAAACTAAAGGAGTCCAGCAAGAGACAAAGGATGGAATTGGGAAGCGGAGGCAGGTCAGAGCAATCAGGTTTGAGCCCTGAACAGATCAGTGACCTCGGCCTGATGGGAGGAGTGACTTGCAGAGGGTTGGGGGCAGGGAGATCAGCTTGAGGCTGTTGAGGAGATCTGAGCAAGAGTTGGTGGAGATCTTTTTAGGGAAGTTTTAGTGGAAAGGGGAAAGAGGAAACGTCTGAGAAATACTGAGGTGTAAATGGCCTGTGCATAGAGACTGGCCATAGGTAGAGAAGGAGGAGAAAAGAATTCCACGTTTCTACCAACTGCAAAGTAAGTACCAAGGTGAAATTCAGGTGTAGGCATTAGAGTAAGGTCACTAGGATGCCTGTGGAATACATGACAATGTTGGAGGAAGGCGTGGAAGGAAATACAGACCTTGTGGGTTCAGGCCACTAAAGAGCATCGCCAGGAACTCAGAAAAGGGCCCCATAGAGGGGACTCGGCCTGGGAGAAATGGTGCCTCCCAGGAAGTTCCGCCAGGGGCCTGGGGCCCTGGAGCTGGTTGTGGGGGGGCCAAAGGAAGAAGTTGGAGAATGGGACCAACTGTCTCTAGCAGGATGCCAACCGGTGCCAGGCAAGGCCAGCAGCAACAGCAAACAGGAAGAGGGAGCCTTCTGCCTCTGGTTTCCCTCTTGTGTCCGAGTGACAGTAAGGCCAGGAAACCGGCTGGCAAAGAAGCAATAGTATTTGTATAGCAGAGCCGCCCGCCCGGCATTTAGGGTGTATTTAGAGCTCAGCAGTAAAGGTCCAGTAAGTGGCCATTAATCCTAAGAAGGCGCTCTTCTTTGGGAACAGCAGGGTCACCTGGCCGGCATGCCTCAGTGGGTAAGTGTCAACCTAGGAACCAAGAGGTTTGGTTCCAGGTCAGGGCACATGCCCTGGTTGCGGGCTTGATCCCCAGGGTGGGATGTGCAGGAGGCACCTGATCAACGATTCTCTCTCTGATGTTTCTATCTCTCCCTCTCCCTTTCTGAAATCAATAAAAATACATACAGTATTTTTAAAAATTAAAAAAAAAAACAGGATCATTCAGTGGAGAGTAGAGCAAGAAGCTGGCCCAGAAAAACACTTGAGGGAATAGAGGACTTGGAACTCGGAAAGGAAAATCAGGAGTGAGGAGTGGGGGTGAAGGTGGAGATGAGATTGGATATTAAGAACTGTTTTCAAATGTCTGAAGGACTGTCCTGGGGAATTGGGTTTGCATTAGTTCCAACTATCTTTTTCCCAGGCCTCCAAGGTCAAGCACCTCCCCCTGCACCATTTTAACTTTATTAGGAATGTGTTTACCTCCCTTTGTACTCTCCCTTCTCCAGTGGTCACTGGGGAGTGGACT